TGAAACTAACTGGATTCCATTGTGTTCAGTGAAAAATCTGTTTGCTCTGAGCTGACGTGAAATTAGTTTATCTTTATTCAAAATTATCTCTCTTTTTAAAGTAATGTTGATGGCATAATTAAGAAATTTCTGTCTTTCAGTCAAATGAAGGTGTGAATCTCATAGGGAAATATTCTGTGTTAAACTTGAAATGTACAAATGTGCCCTGTATAGATTTAAAAAAAAAAAGAATCAATTATTATGATTATCATTATTTTGTCTTTACATTATTACTAACTGAATCAGAACTGGATTATTTTCAGAAAGTATTGTTATACCAAGCACTTTAACATATCATAAACTGACATGAGTTTTTCAGGTTTTGAAGTACATTTAAATACAGCTTTTCATGCTATGTTCTTTACAAATAAAACTATAAAAATAAGAACTTGTCACTTTGTCCTTCTTGAACAGCGACCAGAAGATGCATGATCACACTTAATGAGCTGTTTGAAAACTAGAAGACAAGTTCTGAAGATAGAAGAGGTTGAATATAACAATTCTGTTTATATCTTTTTGTGACATTGTAGAGAGAAGCTCATGAGTATTCTGTGTTTGTATTCTCCTTGATGTTTAACTCTGTCAAGCAACAAAATGTGACGGTCCATATCCTTCATTTTGAATGCTTAGGCTGAAATATTTTTGCTGGTCAGAGGAGAGAACCTTGATCATGATGAAGTTTCTCTTACAAAAAAAGGCAAGATGGGTGATGCAATATTGTTTATTGAATCCATTTTTTTTTTTCAAAAGAGATGTGCCTTCAAACTACACAAAGCTCTTTTGTAGGTCTTTTTAGATCAAAGGCTTTTTTTACATTGCCATCTGAACAGCTAACCGCTTGGGTTGTGTGTTTCCCTTTGCATCTAGCATCTGACTTTTTTTTTTTTAATTAAGGGGTGCACTTTGACTGTCAATGTCCTAAAGGTCCTATTTTGTTCTCTAAGAAGCTGAGCTGCCAAAATATTTTTGATCCATGGGTCTAAAACCTGAAGCTGATAAAAGTGCCATATATCATCTGGCTCCAGCAGATATTTTATATGAAGAACACTGCATAGTGTGAAAAGGGGAGATGAAAGTACCATAGAGAAAAGGTGGAAAATCGAACTGATAGAATGGTTCTCCTTCTTCATTGTATTCTAGGAAAAAAAAAGGTATGTACTAGATTTTCAAAAGCATTCAATATTGGCCTAACCCTGCTTCTGCTGGACTTACGTCGGATCCCTACTTACGAACGGGGCTTTTCTCACCACGGAGGACGCGGGCGGTGGGACCACCCAGACGCGCCGTGGTCCCGCCACCCGCATCCTCCGCAGCTTTGCTCCGCATCTCCCTAGTCTGCTGGGGGGGGGGGGCCCCCCAGTAGACCAGAGAGCCGCAAGCAGACCAGGGAGACGCGGGCGGCGGACCAAGACGCACCGTGGTCCCACTGCCCGGGTCCTCCGCGGCTTTGCTCCGTGTCCCCCGGCAGACCAGGGAGACCTGGAGCAGCTTTTCTCGCCCCGGAGGACACGGGCGGTGGGACCGTGGCGCGTCTGGGCGGTCCCACCGCCCGCGTCCTCTGGGGCGAAAAAAGCCCCGTTCGTAAGTACGGATCCGACATAAGTCGGAGCCGTGTAACTCGGGGACTGCCTGTACTTAGCTTTCATTAGGGATGTGACTGTTGTGCCAAATTTGCAGATCTTTCGAAAGTGAAAGCAAGTCTACATGTACCCCGGGCTGCAAAAGTCTCTCTAAGACCTGTTCGTGCAGTGTTCATCTTGAGCTTTTATTTATAGGCTGTGTACCCATTAAGAATGTGAAATCCTGATTAGTCAGTTAACCAGTTAAACTATGTTTATCATTAACCACTTAAACAGGGGCAGACAGAGGGCTACTCCAGACCCCGACGGTCAACCCTAACCAGTAATGCTTACTGGTTAACCATTCACATTCCTAGTTCCCATAACTTTTTCCCCATACAGTTAGTCCCATTTATAGTCCACAGGCAGGAGAGAGGGGACAGGTATTCTTTCTATTTCTATTCACTGCCTTGTCCTACTCTAGCTCTTCTCTTTGCATCTCCCACCCTACTCGCCAGAGTTTTAACCCTGGCTAATGCTAGCCTGACAGGAGTGGGCAGTTTCCAGGCCAGGCAGTCTCCACTAATACCCCAACCCATTTCCCTTTACTGGGGTTGGAGTGGCTGGAGGTGATTAGGTTTTTTCCTACCATGGAGGTAAAAAGCAGAGGAAGCAGAAAACACTCTGGATTCAAGAGTTTTCTGCTTTTCACAAATGTTGTAATTGCTTATACAGGGAGAAGATAGTTGATACTAGTTAACACCTAAGGCATAACAAGAACCAACTGATGGACGCCAAATTAGAAAAATTCAACCCTAAATTAGGTTTTAACTTTAACAGTGTAAGTAACGATTTGAATAACTTACCAAGGGAAATGGTATATTCATGATCACTTTGAGTCTTTAAATTGAGATTAGATGTGCTCCAGTTGAATCACAAGTGACTGAGGAGCTTGATAATATTTATCTATGTATGAGGGAAGAACAATTCCCACCAGTACAGAAATTACTGGTTGAAATTCTATAGCCTGGGTTAACAGGAGGTGAAACTAAAAGATCATACTGGCCCTATTCTGGTGCTAAAAATCTACATATTTATCTTACTGTTCTCTTATTTGTAAATATACTTATATTATTCTTTATAGTTTATAAGTAGACCAAGAACACTATAGCTGGATTTATTTCAGCATTTGGTTTGAATTACTCTGTACATATTTTTACTTTTTATTACTCTCTTTGGAATTGTGATTCTCAGTTGCACACTTTGAAAAAGATTCAAAATCTGGTCATTTAAAAAACTAGTTAAGAAGGTTGCTAGCGTTCCTTTAGGAAATGGGGTATAATTAGCTTTCTATCTTAATAAAGTTAAATAGAAGCTTAGATACAAGAATACGTTATATGGAAGTGGAATAGATAAATTTATGCATACTTTAACTTTACTTGCTACATTTATTTATAGAACAGAGATTTTCTTAGTTGTATTGACCAACAATGACCACTTATCATGTCAGTATTATGACTGTGTTCAAGTAAGTAGGGAAATGAAACTAACAGACCATAGAAAATAGAGCTCATATTATTTCCTGCAATGAACTAAAATCCTTGCCTTTAGTTATTGTGGTGAAGTCATGTAATTATTAAAATGTACTTCAGTCTAAAACTTTGAAAGCCTGCTTTCAATTATAGCTGAAATAGCACTTGAGATGCATTTAATCAGTTTTTGATAACATGCAAACTAACAAACTGCATCCAGCTGTTGGCAAGGAAGAATTTTTAATTTCACAGTTGGTTGAAAAATACACAAGAAAGGTGAAGAAGAGGCAATTCAATAACATCCTACCTGTGCAACAGAAATATGCATCAGTCAGCTAAGGGATATTCTACTTATCCTGTCAAAACAACCACTAATTAGTGACTCATGCAATAATATATCAGACTGTTCCAGAGTACATAGGAGCATATTTATATATTTGTCTGTAACTAGGTAAAGTGTTTTCTTATACAGTTTTATTAATCTTTGAAGAACCCTTCACGCACCAAAACTGACTGGTAGAAAATAATGGAGAAAATATCCTGCCCATATGAAAATGTTTATGGCAGTTTGGATTCCTTAACATTATAAATTAAAACAACTGATAAATATATTTGAAGATTATAGGCACAAAACATTTTGTGGAATGATTTGAGCTCGGAGCAAATGAATTTAAAGAAAAAGCAAAGCAATGACTATCAAGATAACTGAAATCAAAAAGAGAATTAGATTTGTGAGAAAGCAAAATTGCTAAAAAGATTACATGCCTTCCAGGGGCATTTTTTGTTTATTTTGTGCAAATTTCAACAAAGTAGTTCAAGCTTATCACAATCTCTTCTTTTTTGATGTTCCTTCATCATTACCCATTCAAATCTATTGCAAGGACAATTCTGTGCTTGTGGCACAGAACTTCTAGAGCAAGAAAAAAAAAGCATAATTTTACTTTAAGGAGTAACACTTTCATAGTTAAAATTAAGTGTCCATTTGTGGAGACAAAAGTCTCCCCCTCTCTCCTGAAACATTAAGATGAAGCTGAAATGTTTTGGATAGGGTAATAATTTTAATTTGTTTTCATCAAAATACCCAAAGTTTTTTTTGCTAGATTAAATTAAAAACAAAGTTACGTCACTGCAGCAACAAATTTTAATTGCTATTCGGAAGGGGACGTGGTGACATGCAAACAAGTACATTAAAATGAAGAACAAAAACATAATTAATGAATGAACAATGTTTTAAAGCATTGTCTGAAAGATGACCAGACTTTAAAGTAGCAAAAGATCAAAGATGATAAATTCCAAAAAGCGGGCTCCTGGTAGAAAAGGATGTGGCTTATCTTAACCCCATCAACCTCACATGTCCCAGTGAGACAAGGGGTCAGTATGGATTAGATGTTGTTATAATCCTCCAGAATGACAATATACATTTACTAGTAAAATGATTACATTTGTATCCTCTGGCGAAGCTATAATAAGATTGATTCTTCTTTACAAGGCTAATGACAAAAGACTCCTGCTAATGTTGCCTAGTGTTTTCAGATTTATGACAGTCTTCTCAAGACAGAAAACAGGCTACATTTCTATCACTATTCTCAAGACAGTTATTTGCAAATAATACACTGATATCATTCTACCTGTATAGATTAAAGGAAAGAGAATCTCACTGTACACCTCCAACTGTCTAAAGATTAAGGCATATCACTGTTGCTCAAAAGAATTAGATTCCTACTTTGTTAATTATAAACTGAAAACTTGATTAAAACTTTTTGAAAAGTAAATCAGCAAATGGATTTTTTTCCTAGCTGTGTAATATGGCATCTGCAGGGGCTTAAGGCATTTTGGCAGCTTTATATTCCACAAAAAGCAAGCATTTTACCTGCATCATGCTGAAAGGACAGTCCACACTGATCTCTCTTGGTAAGGGCTAAAAAGAGATATTATAAGATCAACATGACACTACTTCTCGAATATTAAGCATAGAATTATACTGTTGGCCTAGCTCTGATCCCCCTGAAAACATTTTATCATTGATTTAAATGAAAGCATTCAGGCCAATGGTGAAAACTTTTGAAAATCCCACCCTCATTATGCAATCAGGTTATTTTAATTACATATGTAATTATATTAAGAAGTCTCATTTAAGAAAACTGAAGAAATCTCCCAATTTGAAATTTCTCTTTTAAGCATGCTGTTCTGGATTACAGTGTACAAGACATTCCTGGATTGTACCAATGTATCAAGATGTAGTAAGATTCCTATAATTGTTTTCTGTTTTTGCTTGATTAATTAGTTTATTAACTGTTTGACTAGTTAGTTTGCACAATGTTTAGAAAATGTAGAGCAGTATAAGTGCAAATTAATAGCATTATTTATGTGAGATTCAAGTACAGTTGCAATTGGTGTGTGAATAATAAAAAATATAAATAGAAATATATATACTGGTAAAGAAACTGGCTTATACTATTTGAGGAAACTTGCTTAAAACAGACTAGAAAACACAGAGTTAGCAAATTAAAGAAAAACACTGCAAGAAGTAGTTTTCACTGTAAAGCCTAGACTACACTAAAGTTTCGAAAGAGGAATTTGCATATCTTCTTCCAATCTCACTTTCGAAAGCAGAGCTTTCAAAAGTAAAAGTAGTTGGGATGCAGTTTTTTTGGCACTCCCCCCCTTTTTTTGAAAATGAGGTTTATGCGGATTTTCGAAAAAGGGGATGGAGGTTGCTGAAAAAACCCGTGTCCCAACTACTTTCACTATCGAAAGCTCTGCTTTCGAAAGTAAGATTGGTAGAAGATATGGAAATTCCCGCAGAATTTGCATATCCTCTTTCAAAACTTCAGCGTAGTCTAGACATAGCCTAAGAGACAGAAAAAGAGACGATGTTAATGAATGATATGTAAAAAAGTTGCCCACGTGTTCCCATTTGGGAGACCACACAGTGGAAATGAAGCCAAACAGCAAAGCAAAGTGAGAGTATCACTGGATTACAAACAAGCAGTAATAATTCCATCATGCCAGGAGAAGGGATAGTTCTATATTTTATGATGAGCTTTGCTGAACACGGTCTTGGACTCATGAGCCAGGTGATACGATATTACAATATTTAAGGCAGTGAGTCTGGAGGTGTGATGGTCCTTTTGTAGGCACTTTCTGAACACCTGATGATCCCTTTCAAACTGGAACATTGGTTATTGTTGTCACAATGACTTAGGAGTAAGGTAGTAAAGGGGAAACAGGGTATTTATCACTTTTACCAAGTCTAAGACAATACATAAATGAATGAAGCCAGCTAAACAAATAGTTCATTGATGGTGATAAAAAATGGAAATGAAGCATGGGGAAAGAAGACGACAAATAAAGATGCACTGTTTTAAAAGTAAAAGTTTCTTTGAGGAATATAGAAACTCTCGAAGAAAAAGGATGAGAAAGAAAATAGCATAAGTAACTTACACTCAATGTCACAAATTCATTACAGTAAGATACAAAAAGATAGAAATATTTTGCAATTAGAACTAAAGTCTTCTAAGATATTGTAGAATAATTTCATAGATAAAAAGTAAAAGCCTAAGAACATAAAAGTGCTAAAGTTGATGGAAGAGGACAAGTCACATCAATTTCTCCATAATCAGAAGACAAACATTGATATTCTTATAATTATTCCACAATAATTAATACTAAACTTATGTCAAATACAAGTTTTTAATTATATATGGGGTAAATTGTAAACATACATGGGGTGGGATTTTTAATGTTTCTATTTCTCTAGGCCCTCCCAATATGTAAAAGGTCTTACAGAGAGGCTTGTGTATTAGAAATTATCTTTACTAGCATTACCCATCTCATTGTGACAGTAGATGTACACTCAAGTTGGCCTGGTGTGCTTCTGCCTGTCCTGGGGTCTATACGATCTTACTGGGTTCTTTGGCCTTGTATTATATGCTGTTCTTGTATTCCCCTCTCTTTGTTCCCTTTTTCTCCCAGTCTTCAACCTACTCCGTGTTTTCTCTTCCTGTAGTTCTGATCCTATTCTTCCCTCCCCAACTCTGCCACACACTAACCCATGGCTCATCCACTAACTCACTGTTCTCCACTTGCATTTTGTTTCCACACACCTCATTGTGCTGCTTTTCAAGCCTCATGACCCGCTTTGGTGTGGAGGAGGTGCAGATGGGGGAGGAGGAAGTCTTCCAGTGTATTCCTGCGTATTCTCCAATGTGACAGATGAAGTGATGGACACCTCTCCTTTTATAATAGTGTAGATGCTGCTGCATACACAGAATAAGCTGAATACTCTACAGGATGGCCATCCTGAATGGTACATTTATGCAGAGTTAAAGTATCACCATTATCATAGCAGTGTCCTTTAATATTCCACAGAGACTACCATTAATATTTGTGTCCTTTAATATTCATTCACTTTTTAAAATGAGTTTGCTTAGCTTTCTGTCAAAAAGTACTAAAGAGCTCTATTGATTATTAGCTGAAAGGAATTAATATACTTTGTTAATGACATGCACTTTTAAATCTGGAGCCAGCAGAACAAACATAAATGAGTTTTTTTGGGGGGGGCCGGGCTGTAATCAGTTTTCAAAAGACATCAGTTTTAATGTCTCAGAATAAGTGGCTGTCCTTTTGCCTCAACTTAATATGCATCATAGTGCAAGGTTTTGATACCGTGCTTGTGGATTTTAGGAAAACCTTGATAGATTAGTTTTCCTTCCATTTACACAAACCATACCCCACATTAATAGGAGATACATACCTCAGGGAGAACAGACAACTTTTTCTTTGGTTCTGCTGTCTTTGTATCTGTTTCAATGGTTTCCCTCTTTAAAGCCATCAACTATTTGTCATCTAAAACCCATAGTACTACTAGAAATTAGTCAGGTACTGGAGCTTTGAGAATTAGAAGCACGTTTCTCAAGTGTACAGAGATATGTGGAACATTTGGGCCAAATTAGGATGCCCAGTCCATTATGCACTGGCCAGGGGTGGGGTGGGGAGGAGGAGGAGAAGGAGGACACAGGGACTACTTCATCTAAAATCCCACAGCCTAAGGGAAAATGAAACGTGCTGGGAGCCAGAGGGCTGTGACCTCAAATCTTTATAGACAACTATTTATATTTTATGCTTGTCATAGTTATTGCTGTCAACCAAGACGACCTCATAACTCCTTAGTTCGAGTTAAAGACTTAGTTCGAGTTAACGTTTGACTGCCGCGTGTAGCCGCGGGCAGTTAGTTCGGAGTAAGGGGATTTAAAAATGGCGCCCAGACGGGAAGATGCAAATAAAGCCCAGGATATTTAAATCCTGGGCTTCATTTGCAAGTTCGAATGCCTACATTAGCCTCCCTAGTTCGAACTAGGGGGCTAGTGTAGACATACCCTAATATCCTAAGACCAACAAGGTTACAACAGTGCATACAAAACAGTGGTGTTACACTTTGGTCATTTGTGATACATTTCAATTGTTAATGTCATACAATGAAAGATATGAAAACAGAGATATGCAACAATTCTGCTCATAAAAACACACTCACTTGTTTATTTGTCTGGATTTATTCCTATAAAGCACTATGGGGACTTCTTCAAAGCAGTCATAAGCTCACTTTAACTGGTGGGTTCAACTGAATTTACAGCTGCTTTGCCAAATGGCCAAGGCATGCGTGTACACTAGGTACTAGTACAATGAGAGCTTCATGTTTACATCCAAAGCAGAATTTGGCCCTAATGTTTAAAAAAAACCCAATCACACTAAGATAAAGACTAGTTGAATTATGGTCACCTTGATATGCAGAGTTCAGTATGTGAAATCTCTGGGGGGTGGGAGGGAAAGTTCAAATTACTAGACAAGCCTGTTCTTTTAGAGAAAATGAGATATGCTAGCAAAAGAACTATTGTAAACATTTTTAGATCTGAGAATGTGCATCTAAAGTAAACTTTAGCAAAGATTAGTCAAATTTCCCTAATATAGTTTAACTGATTTAAGAACATCTGATTACTTCCAATAAAAGCAATTTAAAAACAAAAAGTCTTATAGGGAAAATGTACTAAATATCAGGAGATTATGAAGCTAAAAGAACTCAGCTAAAATTTTGGGCTAAGTACTTCGGTGCTTTAAACTGATGTAAACTCCATTTAAGTCAATAAAGTTATCAGTTTCCATGAGGTTATGATCTGGTCCTTCATCTCTGCTCAGTAAGAAAACACTAATTAAATCCCAGAGAAAATCTAACACATTTATATTTGTTATGATACTTGCTAATTTCTTTCTCACGCTTTTGGATATGAATAATCGGAAGCTGCTTTTTAGTTTCTCATTGATTTTATTAGTCAAACTAGTTTCTACCAAAGTTGGATAAAACTCAATTGCAAAAATATGCCTATAGCTACTACTCTATTTAAAAATCTGTTATATTTGTATTGGCAAATCCTCGAAGTCTCTGCCAACTTTGCAAATAGCTTAACGTAACATGTAAGGATGGCTACATCTGTTTTAGTGAAAAAAGAAAATCAATGCGTTTTAAAGAACAAAATTTCTTCTGCTGTCTGGACAAAGACCAATGTCTACAAACCATATTTTCTTTACCTAAACATGGCCACCTAAGAAAAATATTACAAGGTAGAGCATATATTAACAGTTTATGAAGGAAGGGAACTAAGATTAATACCACAGGTATGATTCGCTAATGCTCCATACTTTGTGAGGTGATTTAGACCTGTGCAAATTAAGAGCCAAATGTGTGTCAAATGCTATCTATCAAAATGGTAGCATTTTATATACATTTTGCCCACGGGTAGGTGACTACACAAGGTGCAATAATGTGGAGTTTCGGGTCTAGCCTGTTTAGTAGGAGAAGATGAAAGTTTTCTACTATTATCCTCAATCCCCAAGATGCCTCAGCTACAGACATGACAAGTCTAC